TTAGGAATTATAGAAGTCCAAAAAACTGGACGGCAGCAATTTGCCCATGCCTGGTCTACGGCAACAGACCTCAGGCTTTTCTCAGACTCATCCATAACCAAGAAGAGTCCTTTTGGGGGTAAATTAGTGTTTAGAGAGTGTGGAGACAACGGTAAGGACATTATACCTGATGGTTAAGTTCTCCATGACTTCAGGGAAATGTTCCAGCTCTGCTCGGAGCTCCTCAAAGGTTATGGCTCCGCTGCGGTCAGAGTCGGCTGACTCAAAAAGGGCTGCCGTGAGATTATCCAGCGTCTTCTCTGGTAAAGAGATCGAACTCTCTTTCAAGCATGATTTCAAGACTGTGCGCAGCTCTCCAGGCTCAATAGATCCACTGCCTAGGACAAAAGGAGGAGGATTCCCATTGGATACTGGTAAAATTATCAACAGAGGGCTGGGGTCTGGACCATGGTCATGTGGCATCCATCTGGGGTAAAGGCTGTGGCTGGAAACTCTGTCTAAGGTGGCTCTCAACCTTCCTAATGCTGTGACCCCTTAATGCAGTTCCTCATGTTGTGGTGACCCCCAACCACAACATTATTTTTGTTGCGACTTCATAACTGTAATTTTGCTAATGTTATGAATCATAATGTAAATATCTGATATGTAGGATGTATTTTCTATTGGTAATGGGAGTTCTGTGTACCAAGCTTGGTTCAATTCCATCGTTAGTGGGGTTCAGAATGCTCTTTGATTGTAGGTTAACTATAAATCCCAGCAACTACAACTCCCAAATGACAACATCAATGACTCCCCCAACCCCACTAGTATTCAAATTTGGGTATATCACGTATTTGTGCCAAATTTGGTCCAATGAATGAAAATATTTAAATTCTGATTCATAACAGTAGCAAAATTGCATTTATTTATTTATTTACGACATTTATATGCCGCCCTTCTCACCCCGAAGGGACTCATAGAGGCTTACAACCAGGCCCGTAGCCAGGATTTCGTTTTGGGGGGGGGGGGGTGCTGAGTCCGAGTGAAAGAGGGTCTACCCTAGCAAACCTTTTGTATTGTTACCCCAATACCCCCATGCATATGGGATATATTGAGCATGGTGATCAGATCATGATATGAATAAACAGTTTAAATAATGTACCAGTAAGGCCTTCTCGCGGACCACCATGAGAATTTGGGGGGGGGGGCTGAAGTCCCCAAGCCCCCCCCCCCCCCCCCGGCTACATGCCTGCTTACAACATATATATATAGATATAGATATAGATATAATATACACACACATACAATATATTATATTATTAGCATAGTACAATTATTACTATATTGTATTATACCATTATATTGTAATACTGCCTATATAAATAAAAATGTAATGTTCATTTGTGGGATTAACAGAACTCAAAAACCACTGGACGAATTGACACCAAATTTGGACACAAGACACCTAACAACCAATGTATGTCCTTCACTCAAAAAAATTGATTTTGTCATTTGGGAGTTGCTGGGATTTATAGTTCACCTACAATCAAAGAGCATTCTGAACCCCACCAACGATGGAATTGAACCAAACTTGGCACACAGTTCTCCCCTGACCAACAGAAAATACTGGAAGGGTTTGGTGGGCAGTGTCCTTTGGTTTTGGAGTTGTAGTTCACCTACATCCAGAGAGCACTGTGGACTCAAACAATGATGGATCTGGACCAAACTATACACAAATATTCTATATGCCCAAATGTGAACACTGGTGGAATTAATAGATCTTGACATTTGGGAGTTGTAGTTGCTAGGATTTATAGTTCACCTACAATCAAAGAGCATTCTGAACCCCCACCAATGATAGAATTGGGCCAAACTTCCCACACAGAACCTCCGTGTTTACTGGAAATCCCACCTGGATCATTTCCAAAATCTAAAATCAAACACATCTAGCCACTAGGCTTGGGTAACAACGGAAAATTTGTTTCTAAACTCGTTTCATTTTTAGGGGGTCCATTGCGTTTCGTTTTTTTAAAGAATTCCGAATTTTTTCTTTAAAAAATTTCGAAATTTACGAAATTTTGTATAATTACGAATCGATTCGTTAATGGCGGACGCGATTGCGCAATATGCTAAAAAAACCTCCAAATGGGACAGGGGGAACTTCTGAAGCTTCCCTCTCCCTCTGTTGTTGGCTGTTGGTGTGATAAACAAACAACAACTATAAAACTTGCACCAGAGATGCGAAAATAATTACGAAATAATTACGAAATAATTACGAAATAATTACGAAATTACAAAACAATTACGAAAAAATTACGAAATAAATTGAAAAAATTGTTTCGAATCTAATTTACTCCTCACACTTTTCCTGCATGGCTCAATATTGGATCGTAAGCTAATTTAAATACGAATTAATAACGAATTACGAAATTAACGAACGAAACCGCCCAAGCCTTATATATATATATATATATATAGTATTATAGATATTCGTATTATATTGCATTACATTATAATATTATAAATATTATATGTATATACAATATATTATATTACATTATAATTTATGAAGAAGCAACGAAAATAATTTTATGGTTGGGCATCACCACAACATGAGGAACTGTATTAAGGTGTCACGGCATTAGGAAGGTTGAGAAACACTGTGTGAAGGGCAGGTTTTGGGGAAGACAGGTTTTTTTGTTCAGTTACATATCATTTTCATCTAAAAATAGTTATTGGAGTGGGTGGGTTTTAGTATTCATTGAGAACCCTGAGTTATGGCACATACAGCCCAGGAACCCCAATGAGAACATGCACATAAGCAACCACCAGCAGCTCCTGTCTTGAGATGGGCAGAGCAACAAGATTGTGAAGAAGCAAAATCTAAGGTTGCGATACTGGCGCAGAGAAGGTGGTCGTTGGGATTTTACCATCCACGTCATAAACATGGAAGAGGAACCGGAGCTTGTCTGTTTCGCTTCCGTGGAACAGCAACTTCAGGGCCTCCAAGAGCTCATCCAGGCTGATGGTGCCGCTTCCGTCCGAGTCGAACAAAGCAAAGAACCGCTCAGCAAAAAAGGACTAAGGGAGGAAACAAAAGTCAGCCCTCATAACTCACTTTTGACCCAGTTTAACCAAACTTTCTAGACTTATACATGAGTAAAGTAAAGGTTTCCCCTGACATTAAGTCTAGTCATGTCTGACTCTGGAAGGTGATGCTCATCTCCATTTCCTGGCATTGTCCGTAGACACCTAGAAGGTCATGTGGCCAGTATGACTGCATGAAGCATCATTACCTTCAGAGTGTACAATCACTCTGAAATGGTATCAACGCCGTGTCTTCTTATGCCGAGTTGAATATGAATCAGCTGCCCACGACCGGTTTCTGCCTTACTCCAGGCCTTTCTCTGGTGGTCTAAAATTATTATATACATTAAAATTTGCTGCAAATATATATATTGAACATCATATACTGAAATACATCTGAAGATACTTGCAAAGTTATAAACTTAACACTTATTACATACACCAATCTTTGCTGCAAATATATCCATTGAACATCATATATATATATTTGCAACCAAAACATATAATATTGTTTGTGATTACTGTGAAATTGAACAGTAAAATATGTCTATATAGATATGCTCAATTCTATTCTATTTTTTGTATAAGTGAGATATTTGTTGAGCTTACTAATTCAGAAACCCATTCATATTGTATTGTTTAAAGCTAACAGCTGGAGCTCACCCTGCTCCCAGGATTCAAACCGCCAACCTTTTGGTCAGCATTTTCAGCAGCTCTGCAGTTTAACCCACTACACCACCAGGGCCCCCTATACATGAGTATTTATGGGGTTTTGACCAGAGCAAGGACTGGGTAAATGACCTTGGAGTGCCGTATTCGGTCCTCGGACCTTAGTTTGAGGACCCCTGCTCTAGGGGTAGACCAAGACATTAATCCAAAGAATCAAACAATAACCTTGGCTAGGCTTGAGAGCCTAAAGGTTATCACCCAGCCATTTGGCAAACATTGGTCACCTAAATCCTGACAACTAGATATTTCTTCATTATTTCCCTGTTGTCCGCCTCCCTTCCCCCTCATTGGCGGAGCGGCCAAAGCAGGGCTTAGGCTGCCATTGGCTTTTCTGTTGGTTTGCTGATGTTGTGCTCCAACGTCCAGGAGCTCCAACTTCTTTTCCTTTTTTTGAGTGTTTGCATGTATTTCAAGGTTCCATGCATTTTGCAATAAGGTGGCTTCCCTTGGTTTGCAATTATAGGGCCAATGACCCATCAATCATCATTAGGTTCTTTAGTTCCTCCCCTTTTTCTGGGTTAAGGAGGGGAAAAGGGGACCTCCAGTTCACACAGAGAAGCCTTTCGTACAGGACGTGAATCAGTTCCACCTGTAGAAAGCTTCGTCTTTTACAGCTTTTGCTGGGGGGATCCAGTCCCACAGCTCTACAGCAGCTCTTTGCTGGAGAAATCCAGCTCCACAGCTTTACAGCCAGCCTTCACTGGGAATTGAAGACCTTCTTTCCTCTTGGAAATCTACAAAAGGACTGTTTGGTAAGGACCACTCGCGGCAGCCATAACGCAATTTGGACCGGGTGTAGGGGCCCATGCCAGCAGAGCCTAAGACAGATTGCCCAGGTAGAGGTCAAGGATTTCCCTGATAATGAAGAAACAGTTCATGAAGATAGTTGCCTGTCCCTTGTGGACAAGATTAAGAAAGCCACCAATTGATTCAAAGCCTTGAAGTATTTGTTTGATTTATTGAAGACCTAAGCAATAATAAAGAACTTTGTTAAACTTTACAAGTTTCTAAAGACTTTGTTTAGGGAAATCTATAGGGTTTCGAATCTGAGGCACCCCCGGCGTCCTGTTGGGCATACAGAACACATCCTGTCTACAGACCTTTTCACAGGCCCAGCGCATGACAGCACAGATGTCACAGTCAATTATAACAAGGCCAGCTCGGGGGCGGGGTGGGGGGGGGTGAAGGGCAAGGGAACTTTTGAATCTGAAGGCTATAAATATTGTATCTCTTTGCCCAATGGGAATGTCAAATTTTTTGGCAGGCTACTGCAATCRTCATCCTTTCCAGCTGGAATGAAATAAAAACCTCGGTGGCTTTCTCTTCAACTTGGTGAAGAGATTTATTCTGGAATACTGGCTTCTCTTTCTCACCAGGCAACCCACAATGGCTTGGATCTCTCTATCCGCAGCCACTCTAAATTGCTTCACAACAAAAGGAAACCTACCTCCTTCACGTTGAGAGCAGTTTTGAACTCTTCCAAATCAATTTCTTTATCCTCGCCGGCGATACTTTCAAACTGCTGGGCCACCCACTCCAGCCATTTGGCGTCACCGTCTACATTCATGATGCTAAGTCAGAAAGCAGTCTTTTGTTGTTGTTGTTGTTTTTGGTGTCAGAGAAATTGCACTTTTGCAATCCAACTCTGCATTTGTGGATCTATTTTCCTATCAATAGGCATGACTAGTTGAGCTGAACTATTTTTGTTCTTTGTGTGCTTTTTCATTATCTGGAACTTCCTTCTGCTTTGCACTAGGATTGCTAGGAAAAAAACTTGATCATATAAATTTAACAAAATGTATATTTTTAGTGTTTTTTTCCAAGGGTAAACTTTCTCATCTCATTGTTATTTTCCCAGTATTGTTCTCATTTTGATGACATCTGTTCTAGTAGAATTAAAACAAAGCAGACGACAACTTCCATCTTTTTTTGTGCTACTCTCTTTTATATGCATCTATATCAGGCATGGGCAAATTGTGACCCTCTAGGTGTTTTGGACTTCAACTCCCACAATTCCTAACAGCCTGAGGACCCTTCCTTTTCGCCCTCAGCTGCTTATAGGTTGACTGGAAAGCATGTGTCGGCAGCTGATTGGCTGAGCATGCCAGGAGCCAGAATTCTGATTGGCTACTGCCTCTAGCTTGCTGCTGAGACGAACGGTTTTAACTGTCACTTTCACCTTGGAGAGTGAAGAGAGCGCTGACTGGAAACAGCCAGGAAAGAAATGGCTGCCAACTCTCTGGCCATTTCTGAGGCATGAAACATATGTTAAAGATGGTTTTAAAAGGACTGTTTATTCCTTCTATTCTCAGTGTGAATACAGAGAGAGTACTGTATATATTGTTACCCTGTTTGACCTTTCGAACAGAAGTAAAGTTACTATTACTCAAATCTGAATGACACATTATTATACTGCCGGGTATATTTTGGTTCAGACACAGTGGTAAACCTTCTGTTTGTTTACATTTACAACTTCCAACAAACTTTGGCCCTCCAGGTGTTTTGGACTTCAACTCCCACAATTCTTAACAGCCTCCGGCCCCTTTCTTTTCCCCCTCAGCCGCTTAAGCTGCCCATGCCTGATCTATACACTTGGAAAGGCTGCAATCATTTTCAGTCAACTTCCACACTAATCCAGGGACATGCTTAGCCTTTGTATTTCCATTAGATGTCAGAAACACCTGCGGGAAGAGTGGTCCTTTTATGACTCAAGAGCCTTCCTTATTCTCCTTGCTAATGCAACTTGCCAGGTGACAATCCATGAGAACGCATAATGCTCCCAAACGGGTTGCTATGAGAATGTCAAAAAACAGTCAGCAGATGAGTTACAGAGATGGGTGTCACGTATTTGTAATCCTTCAGGGAGATAGGGTGGCATATTATTATTATTATTATTATTATTATTATTATTATAAACACAACAAGATGAGTCCACAGCAGTCACTCTTCTGGCTGTTGAATTGGATCACATGTTGGACACTTCCCAAGTGTCTAGGACTGTGTGATGTATTGGCGAATAATGCGTGCAGATCCCATTAGGGTGGCCTTCTGCAGCTGACAGATATTAATTTTATCAGTGCCAATTATGTTTAAGTGCAAGCCAAGGTCTTTAGGCACTGCACCCCGTGTGTCGATCACCACTGGGACCACCTTGACTAGCTTGTGCTAGTGTCTTCGAAATTTGATATTATTATTATTATTATTATTATTATTATTACTACTATTATTATCATCATTTGAAACACAACAAGATGAGTCCACAGCAGACACTGCTGGCTGTTTTATGGGATCACACATTGGACATTGGTGTTATTATTATTATTATTATTTATTATTATTGACACAAAAGCACAGTATGTCACAGCAAACGAGATCTATATGCTGGATTTCATATCACAAAATCACAAGTCAAACACTTCCCAAGCGTCTAGGACTGTGTGATGTATTTTCGAATGATGCGCACAGATCCAAGTCAAGGTGGCCTTTTGCAGTTGACAGATTGTGATTTTGTCAATGTTTATTGTTTCCAAATGCTGGCTGAGATCTTTTGGCACGGCACCCAGTGCGCCAATGACCACTGGGACCACCTGGACTGGTTTATGCCAGAGCCTTATTATTATTATTATTATTATTATTATTATTATTATTATTACTATTACTATTATTATTATTATTATTAGATGATGATGATGATGATGATGATTATTATTATTATTATTATTATTAGGAAAATGCCTGTTCTGTAGGGCAGAAAATGGCCATGTGCAAGGCAGGAGGTGGTAGTAGTAGTAGTAGTAGTAATAATAATAATAATAACCACTGATTATGCATTATGGCTACTTTGGGACTTCTGAGTTCAGACAGATAGAGTTTTGGAGCACAATACTCCTGATCTCACAATCGTGTGAAAAAACAAAGTATGGATCATCGATGTTACAATCCCAGGCGACAGCAGGATTGAAGAGAAACAACTGGAAAAGCTGACACGATATGAGGATTTAAAGATCGAACTGCAAAGACTCTGGCACAAGCCCGTCAAGGTGGTCCCAGTGGTGATCAGCACATTGGGTGCAGTGCCTCAAGACCTTGGCCTGCACTTAAAAACAATCGGCGCTGACAAAATTACCACCTGCCAGCTGCAGAAGGCCGCCTTACTGGGATCTGCACGCATTATTCGCCAATACATCACACAGTCTTAGACACTTGGGAAGTGTCTGACGTGTGATCCAAAACAGCAGAGTGATCTTGTATGTTGTGGACTCTTCTTGTTGTGTTTCAAACAACAACAATAACAACACTTTATATATATATTACACCCTATCTTTCCAAGGGCTATCAGAGCGGATCACAGTACACACACGCGGCAGAGACAGACAGAACAGAAAGGAGGTATGGTAGAATCATAAAATGATGGGAGACCCCAAAGGACATCCAATCCAACCCCTTTCTGTCATGCAGGAAAACACAATCCAAGCCCTCAAGTCAGATGGCCATTCAGTGTCTACTTAAATACTCTAACGGACTCTGAGGCAGCATACTCCACTGCTGAATAACTCTTACTATCAGGAAGTTCTTCCTAATGTTTGGATGGAATCTTGTTTTTCCATGTACATATTTGAATCCATTATTCCATTGCTTCCTTGAAGCAGTTTGCTCGGCTCATTTGGCTTTCTTGATCCAAGAAATGGCAACACATTCATCCACTTTGATTCCACCCCATATAATGATTTTAGAAAGGCAGAGAACATTTGCAATGCCGAAAAGGCTGGAAAAAGAAATAGCTCTCAATTACTCATGCAAACCATGCCCCACGATTTTGGAAAAGATGAGAAAAACAACAACAACGAAGTTACCTGCAACTTACGACCCAGGGACTTCTTGATGGAGTTTCACAAAATACTTTCCCTCTGTTTGGTCCTTTTCAGTAGTTTTTTTTAAAAGGATGTAATGAAGGGCATAACATAGGAGATTCTATGGCAGAGTAAAGATTCTGAAAGACAGCTTGCAAATGTCCTTTCATAAGGTACAGCGTTAACTGCCTTCTTCTTCCAAGGATGGCATCCTGCTCCAAACAGAAGAAGCCGCTCTTAGTTTAGGTAGCAACTGGGACACAGGTGCTTCTGGCAGGTTGCATGCAGGAACGTGACAAAAGCATCATCCCTAGATCTGTGATATTTTGCATAGTGGAGCCTGAACTGTGTATCTGTCAAATGCACTTGTATTTAATTGATTTACTTGAAGATATATTATGCTTGAAGGCATATTATGCTTGTCATTATGGTATTGTAGAAATAGGAGTCCCCGGTGGCACAGTGGGTTAAACCCCTGTGCCGGCTGGACTGAAGACCGACAGGTCGCAGGTTCGAATCCGGGGAGAGGCAGATGAGCTCCCTCTATCAGCTCCAGCTCCTCATGCGGGGACATGAGAGAAGCCTCCCACAAGGATGATAAAACATCAAATCATCCGGGCGTCCCCTGGGCAACATCCTTGCAGACGGCCAAATCTCTCACACCAGAAGCAACTTGCAGTTTCTCAAGGTGCTCCTGACACAACAAAAAAAAAATCATAGAAAGAGGAAACTGCATCTACATTGTGGAATTAATTCAGTTTAACCACATTTTAGCTGCCGTAGTTCAATGGCATGGTATCCTGGAGTTATCGTACTTACAATTACTCCCTTTCCTTTTTCTTCCTTCTTTCATCTTCCCTTTCTTTTTCATTATTTCCTCCCTTTCCCCCTTCCTTTCTTTCCTTCCTTCATACCTTTCCCTCTTTCCTTTCCCATCCTTCATCCGTCCTTTTCTTTGAAGTCACAGTCTCTCCGTTTCAGAGTCAGATGCAAGCACATATACACACTTTCCAAAATATAAGTCTTCAGTAAACTGCATATTTTCTTATGGAGTGCGTGGCCCAAATGTGGTCCTCAGGGCTGTGTTGTTGGTCTCACGCTGTGGCCATTGTTTTTACCAGTAGCCAATCCTTAATAATACTAATAATAATAATACTTTATTTATACCCCGCTACCATCTCCCCAAGGGACTCGGTGCGGCTTACATGAGGCCAAGCCCACAATACATCAGCAAAAACAACAGCAATACAAAACAATGTAAAACTCATAAACAAAAAAATAGCAGTAAACACATTAACAATAACACAACAACGCATTAAAAACCTATGGCTGGACCAAATGTAATAATTATATTATTATGTATATATTGCCCTCTTGTGGCTCCATCTGAGCCCTGCATATATACATCTCTATAAGCCAGCAGCTAATCTTTGTTATCTATATACTGCCCTCTTGTGGTTACATCTGAGTGCTGCACATATACATGCCTATAGGCCAGTAACTAATCCTTTTCATCTATATACTGCCCTCTTGTGGTTCTATCCCTATAGGCTAGTAGTAACAAATACTGTCTGTCTATCTATTTACACTAGCCGTCCCCTGCCACGCGTTGCTGTGGGCCAGTCTGGTGATCTGGAAAATAAAGTAATGAGAAAGTGTTGGTTTCTAATATATGTAATGTCTTGATGCGTGTGGACAAACAGTATTTCTTTGTCAG